GGAATTCCTGCAGATAGAAAACAATTCACTGCAGTGAGCTCCAGGGCGTCCCTGTGCCATGTGATGGCGCCGAGGTAACAGGGATGAAGCGTGGAAGGTTAATATAAAGAATGGATTGTTGTTGGTTTTTTTTTCATTTACAAAGCAAATAAAGTTTCACAGCTTTATCTGCGATGCTTGACTAAGTTATCATAGTATTTCTATGGGATAGCAAAATATTCAGGCAGATTACATTTACGAGACTGAGTATTTTATTTTTTTTGTTTTGTTTTACGCGACTCGCAATATCTCCGATTCTGTGCACTTGTTCAAGCTAAATGTACAGATAATGGTGATAAAACAGGCAAACTTGTGATTCTGGCACGTAAATATAACAACATGTGATGGTCTGTTACAGCTCTGACTATATGGGTTTGTGATCTGCTAATCCTATACTTTGAGAAGTGTGTGATCATTGGAGAGCAGCTCTTGAAAGCCACTCTTCATTGTAATTACAGTAGGAGGAAGCTGCTTGACAGTCTGTGTCAAAGAGACACATCTCTCAGTTCAAGGGGGGAAACATATCGCTCTTGTAGCATTTCAGCGGTCTTCATTCTAAATCATAGGGATTCTGAATAATTCAGGCCATGGGCTGCACTTTCTCTGTAAAGCATCACCTCACACAACCCCGACTACACTTAGGAGAGGCTGCAACGACGTTGCTGCTCGACTAATGTGGGTTACTGCAGTGAGCTGGGATAAGATCAGAGGAGGACGTGTATCACCACCATATGATTGTGTTTGAAAGGCAAGTTTAGAAATCTGATGATGAAATAACGGCCAACAAGACATTTTACATTCCAGAAATCAACATCAATTCTTCTTTAATACTAACTTGTGTTCTGCCTGCACACTTGGCATTTAAAAACAAATGTTATAGTCTAAAATTATTGGATTCAGTTTGCCAAAAACATTGAAAATCTCCTAAAACAATTATTTATTTTTTAATATTTAAAGGTGCGCTATGGAGATTTGGTAGTGAAATTTGAAAGTTGGAGAAGTGAAACAATTCTATGTAATATTTTCTGAACTGAATATACAAACTTTACTTAAAGGAAAAATGAGGACAGTTTGTGTATAGAGTTTTGAACATTTACCACAGAATCTGTACACTTCTCCAACTTTCACACTTCTCTATCAAAACTATAGTGCACCTTCAATATTGCACTCTAATAATACTACCTCTTATTTCATTGATGAAAGCAAAAGAAAAAATTCAAATAATCCATAATAAACACATGACCATGGGTGGAACCAAGGCCACCATGCTGTGCGGAGACTGAGAGGTTAACTACTCATTACCACTTCTCATGAGGATTGAAAACTGATGAAGGTTATGAGTAATCTTAAACATTCGGCATATGTAAAGGCCAATTAAGCAGTTAATGGAATTGAATAAAATATAAAAACAAATATATAAAATAATCATTTTGTTTTTTCTATGCAATGTGACATCACAGGCGTCAGTGTAGTCACACCACTCCTGACTGAGTCTGACAAAGCTGTTAAGCAGTAAGATAGATGGGGGAATAAAAATCATATAGTGTGAGCCTAATGAGTTGTATCCCATTCACACAATGACAAATTGATTTAAAAAAAAAAAAAAGTGTCATAATGGAATTCACCAGATCAGAATCAGAGAGCAAACATATGATGAGGTTTGCTGGTTTTAAGGCAGGCACTGCTGGACTATAACTCTCTCCATCAATTTCTTTATCTGCACCTCCCTCTGACTCGTTTCTTCTTCTTCACTCAGACTTTCATCCCTCGCTGTCAGCTCTCCTCTCATCACCTCTCCTCTTTCACGTGCTTCCAGTTCTCTTTCTTCTGATCCTCAGTTTCCACTTTTGTCATTGCTTTGTCCATGACCCCTTCAGTCCACCTACTCTGAATTATTGTCATTAATCAGTAATACTTTTTCTATTTTTAACATTTTTTAATTGATAAGATATTCAATTTCTAACTGCTGAGGATGCAGCTTGTTTGTGTGTAGACACATGAGCTTAGCTGAATGGATGTAAGCCATGGACTTGCTGAGGGACATGATTATGACTACATTTATTTTCTATTTTACAATCACACGGTTTTGAGTCAGTAAAATAGGCATAAATCTGTCTGGTCTCAGTAGACGGCATGAAAGAACAGACAAACGCAGTAATGCAACACAGAGAATAGAAAACAAAACAAGAGGCCAGAGCAAAAACATCCAATTAATCAATTGGAAAAATGTCGATAGTTTCGCAGGTATTTGGATGTAAACTATAGAGTAGAATCGTTATTAGGATTTAATTTTGAATGTTCAAAATGTTCAACTCATAGCAGCACAAATGGGAAAAAGTGACAGAAATCAAAGTCATCTTTATTGTCAATTTTTCCATACGTGCTGGACATACAGAAATGTCCAAAAAACGTGTCTGTCCGAACCATGGTGCAAGCTAAGTATAAAAATAGAATACAAAATACCAAGATTCAATATCTTCAGCAATGTCTTTTTTTTTTTTTTTACAATGTTTTAAGGATTTGTCCACTGGTAATCATGCATGTCTGTACTCTAATGTCATTGTGTCATCCCTCTGTGAGGTGCATGTGTGAACAACAATACCCAGAGGATTTCAGGGGCAGTGCTCCTGAAATTCCTATGTGAAAATGTCTATAAAGAGCAAGTCCAAACCGCAAATCAAATTCTTCATAAAACAGATCCTTTGGAAATTCAGCCAAACAGAAACAATTTTTAAGCAGATTGAGGGAAAAACAAGCTCAAAGTAGGTTCAATAAGCCAGCCTGCACTGCACCATTCAGAGCAAGGCAAAAAGAAAAAAGAAAGGAAAAATAGGCCACATCTTATACGACTGTGAAAAGGCGACACACAGATAGAATATATCAATCCAATCCCAAAGGACACCCCAATAGGAATATTTCTTTCTCATCCCATCACAGACAGGTTTTTGATCTTCTTACAGAGGACGAACTTCAGTCTGCAGATGAATCACTATAAAACTGCTTCAACTTAACTCTGTCACTAGTTTTAATTCTAGTAGTGAGCTAGTTCTTTTACAAGCAGCTGGAGTTAATCGAGTTTAGTGCATACCAACACGAGATGAGTGAATGTCATAGCAATTTCATAACCGTATCCGAAAGCTGCATGTTTTCATTCACAGTGAGAACCCGGTAGCTTTGAGAAGATGTCTGCACAAAGTGATGCTGTGTATGCTGCCTGCCACCCTGAGGCAAGGCCTGTCCCTGCAGTATGATCCACTTCATTTAGCACGCTCTCCTCTGTCCGCCTCCATCCGGCTCCCTTTTCTCTGCTATCTCACCTTCCCTCTCTTTCTTCTCAATAAGCTCGGCTTCGTACCGCTTCTTTGCAGGGCGCGGAGTGATAAAGCTGAAAATCCTCTGTATGGCACTACAAAGCAGGCTGTATTTTTCACAGAAGGAGATCATTTCAAAGGCAGTTAATTAAAGGCGCTCTCCAGTCGCCATGTGCTCCAGCGTCAGGGCTCCGTGCATTGTGAGCTGAAGCGAGAAGCGTCAGAAGAGGAATGCAGGGGATCCTTCTTGAGTGTACTGCTCTGTATGTCTGTAGAGTGGCATAAAGTCAGACAAAGATTGTTTCTTACTAAGATCGAAGGTTGACCTGCAACTATTCCAAGTCTTACCTTCTTTCAGTAAAAAAAAATAGTGCATAAATATTTCTTGTATAAAAAAATGAAATGGAATGAAACGATATCTTTTGATAGATTTGGTTTCACACAACACTTCAGAATGACTTTGGACAAATGCCGCTACAATCGTGTTTTCTGCCACGCTTTCAGCGCTAAAATGAACTCATTTTACGGACTTTAAAATAAATGTGTGTTTCTGGCATGTTGATGTTAAACTATATTTTAGATGGATGAAGAGTGGTTTAAAAAAAAAAAAAGAGGTCTTAGACGCAAACCTGAATCTCAATGTTGAAATCACAGCTAGTCCTCACTGGTCAAATAAGAACCCAGGCATGTATGGATTTTGTGTCCACTCTTAATCATGAACAATCAGGTCTGTTATCTATTATATGTTTGATTATCTTAGATGTTGGGTCTGTCTGTTGTTACCATGGTGAATCCTACAACCATAGATAGACCCTCAAAGAGCAGTGTGCGTAACATGTGTAAGGATGACCTCTGATCAGGTTTTACGAAAGCAGGTGTGGAAAAAGCATTGAGCAGCAGTGCCTAAGAGTAAGAGGCAGCAGAGAAGAGGAAAGATGAGAACGTTAAGGTGAAACAGCTGCTTTAAAAGATAAAGAGGTCAAACCTAGCCGCAGCTCAACACCTCTATCTGAGCTGCCTTATATGTACATGACAAATAAAACATGTTCTCAACAGAAGGATTGCATTATCAGTTGCAGCTTTAACAATTTAGGATGCACTGCAGGTCTCTTGGTTTTTGCCTGTAAAGGTCCAATTGATTCTGTCGTTAAATATGTAGTTTCATTCCTTTGTTTTGGAGATCTCACAGGCATCAAAAAGAGACTTTGTTGCAATTGTTTTAGTATGACTCTTCTGTGGTGAGAGAACTGAACTATTTGGGCGCTTGTGGCTCAGTTGGTAGACTCGTCGTCTTTCAATTGGTTGGATCCCCAGCTCCTGCAGCAACATTTCCGACTGGTCCTTGGGCAAGACACTGGGCATATGAATGTGTATGGGATTAGTTAATACTGATGGTCACTTTACATAGAAACCTCAGCCATCAGTGTGTGAATGGATGTGAATGGGTTGGTGTTGACTGAAGACACAAGTGTTAAACAAGCTCAAGTCCATTTACTATTCATAGCTCAAAGTCTCTTATTTCTCAGTAGAAATTTTGCCAGTGCTTACCTCTGTACTTCCCCCCCTCCCCATGCTTTTCTCTTGTCAATGCACGCTCACTATACAAACCTGTTAAGAGTAATAACTTTTCTCTGTCTCTTTTTTTCACAGTGTGTAGAAGCCAAAAAGTACTGCTGGTATTTCGAAGGTGGATACCCCATCTACTTCATGTAAGTACCACACTATGCAGTATTACAAATGAAGTGAGACACAGTTCATTCATTTTTAGTTTCACCTATGGGGTCGATGGCAAAGTGCAAACAAAATCAAACTAGCTGAAATAAATGTGTCAAAACAGCTTCCTAGTTTTATGTATCGGTAGTTCTAGCCCTGATATCGAATCGCCACAATGTTGCAGAGAGGACTCCATCCATAACTAGAAAGCTTTGAAAGTGTCCAAAACAAGTCAAATGTTTACTACCTTTAGTCAATTTATTTGCTAACTTCAGCAACCATGAATGGCTTTGTCGACTCCACTGGTGTATTAATTGTGGTAATAATGGTACGATTAAGATGACACAGTGCATTAACAAATAAATAATAATAAATAATCCAGAGTGTGGTCGGCTGTGACACCCTGCAGTGTCTGTGTGCAACTATTACATTCAACAAAGGCTCCACTTTCTCTTCTCAGCAAAGGAAGTCTTCCCTTTTGTGGTGCAGTTTCTGAAAACATATTTTCACTCCACATATAAAAATGTTGATGTGCTGCAAAACTAACTCCTCATATTCACATAGTGTAATTCAGGGGAAGATTCGTTGCTGTCCTCTTTTTGAGATTTTTTTTTCAAACTCTGAATAGTGAAAGATGGAGACTTCTCTCTTTGGGTTGCCCACATCTTGCACACTGATAACAATTCAACAGAGTTTGTTGCTCTGCTGCTCACAGTTTAGACAAGAGCCATCGGTTTCACTGAGGAGAGGCTTCTCCCACGGTCCCTACTTCCATCCATTGAGTTTTAAAGTGGCGATGAGGGGGAGGAAGGAAGTGAGACACAGAGTGTTAGTGAAGAAGAGTGATTCTGTAGCTAATGAAGGAAAAACTCCATGACAAAAAAAAAACATCCTCCCCTTCTACCTCCTCTTTCTTTCTACTCATCCTCGTGGCACTAAATCTGTGTTTGTTTCTCTGGGTTGTTGTTTTAGGACATTAATAAACACATCATCATTGCATTCATACTTATATATAAAATGCAGATATCCCCTCAATTGCCCTAATGAGGACTCTGACAACTGCTGTCATCACCTTTCATGCCAAAAACTGACACTGTAGTGACCCTGCCTCATCAGGATTTCAAACAGTTAAGCACATTTATCTGAAAGGCGTTAGCCTACTTCACATAGTGAGGATCTTAAAGTGTCTCTTCCTCTACTTCAGCCTCTTCCCCGGTGTCGTTTTCTTTGCCTGCAGCGGAATGAAAGAGCTTCTGCAGGAGGATTTAACGCGTGCTGTTTATGTCTCAGGAGAGAACTTCTCAATCCCCTCCATTATCTGTCTCTTTCTCACAGTGTGGCTATTTTCATGGTCCTGTCCATCTGTCCTCATGAGGACAAACTAATGTGATTGCTGTGGACACCTGAGAGAAATCGCATCATGCCCATTCAATTTTGTGGGGCTCGACAGGATTTTTCTCATATCTTAACATAAAAAAAAATAAAAAAATGTTGGTTTCACCCAAAGCTGCTGCAATGAGACCAGTTCCCATCAGCGGGTACTCACATACTTAGACAGATGACAGGTAGCCACTTGTTGCTGAAGTCACAGTGGAGCATCAACCTTTTCTTCAAACGTGTAAACATGAGATGTAAACAAAGTGGTTTAGCCCTCTGCTCAGTTAGTTAAGATTTGTTAAACTGTAGCATCCTGTTCTGTCTTAATAAAGCCAGTTTAGAAGTGAGAGATCCTTCAGGTATGTTTTAACACTAAATCAGAGGGAGCGTGCTGCGAAAACTAAACTCTACTTTTTAGTTTTAGATCAGGATTTTCCTCAACATTTTCCTTCTTTAAAATGTTTTTAAAGCTCTAGCTGCAGAGGTTGAACATGCAACAGGTGGGTTATTTTTGGTGAGATAGGCTAATTAAATAAGAAGGGCTATCTTACTTCACAGTTATGTGATTCAAGTGGTGGAAAAGGGAGCCATATCATTTACTTAAGAGGGTGCAGCGTTAAAGGTAGAAGTCCTGCAATGGCCTCTAAAATTAATGAAATATCTTATACTATTGAATTAGAATGATTAAGGAATACATATAGTCGTCAGCACCTCAGTCGTACAGCGTTTAAAGGCCAGAGCTAGCTTTAAGTGCAGCTGGGACCATGTGGAAAACAAATGGCCCCAATGACATTCTAAAGAAAAGTAAGTAACATTATATGATGGAGAAAAGCAGAATAATAAACTATCAGATACAGTCAAATACTCAGGTGCCTCAGATCTGTACTTTAGCAGTTTCTGAATTGACTTTGTTCCCCAATTTGACCATTTCAGACCAATCAGGAAGGATGTGATGGTGATGTTCATCAGGCAGGTAGAGTTGCTGATCTCTGTGAGGCAGGTAAACAAGAAAGTCGCATAATGATGACAGCGACATGATGATGATGATGATGATGATGATGATGATGATGACAGAGACATGATGATTATGATGATGATGATGATGTTGGTGATGCCGAGCTAAGAGAATTGTAGATTGATGATGAAAACAGCTGTTTTAATTAGCACTGTGTTAGATTGAGTCAGGCTCTCCCACGCAATGTGAGAAATGTTGCATTATTTAACTGCGGACTGTAAATATTAATGGGCGAAGCCTCAATGTCATCACCAATCTGTTCCTGCAGGGGGCTCTAGAGGCAGCAGCCACCACGCTGGAAATGCTGTCTCAGCCTAACTTTCAGTCAACCTAATGACAGGCTGAGAGCTGGAGCTGAGGCGGGTTTTAAGAGTCCTTACAAACTGTTATATCTCGACTACCTGTCAATGAGGTCATCTGCGCGCCTAACTATGGATAACACGTATCTTACATAAAATTTTGTCCTGGAGCCAGCCTCAAGCTGACCCTCGAGGCACTGCAGGATTTTGCCCTTCTGAATTGGCTTCATTTTTAAAGACTGGGGGTTGCCGCTTGAATTTAACTTCTCTTTCACTCAGACTTTCAGACTGAAACAGAAATAACACCCCTCATGCCTTTGGTTATATATATATATATTTGAAAATGCAGAAAATGGCATCAGTCTTCCCAAGTTTTTCAGAGAAGGACCCCGTTGACCCCACGACTCCTGTCCTGCCTAACAGGACAGGACACAATCTTGAATTTAACACAGAAAGAAGGAATAAGATTTATCCAATATTCTGGAGTACAAACATCAAGCATGAACCTGTAAAGAGCCTTTGTTGCAATCTTAAAAGTGAAAAGCTGTGAGTCACCTTGAGTTGCTGGGGAATTTCAAGTGCTACTGTATGGTAGGACAGGCTTCAGGCAAAAAGTGCTGAGATTATTGGAACAGGGACATGCCATTGGTCTATAAACAATAAAGAGTTCTTTTATTTTGCTTATTCATGAGCAAAGCAGTCGCAGCAGTAGTAGTGGCTTTGACTCACATCTCATGGTGGAAATGAAGACACAAAAACACAAGATTTTTGTCAAAAAAGATAATTGTGTGCATCGTTGTGTGGTTTGGTCTGATAGTGATTATTTCCCTTGTTACATTGGCTGTTGCTGTCTGTCATTTCAATCTCTGACCTTAAACTTTGCATCTTGGGAAGCGCGTACACGAGGGATAAATACTGTAGATTGTTCCCAAATCAGTACGCTGATGAAGGCTTTGTGCTGAGACAAGTCTGTTGTTGATCTTTGTGCTGCTGCTTTAACCAGATAATTCATAGAAAATAAAAATTAGTGTGCTAACTTATATGTTTTTCTAATCAGTATCAGGATAGTTTTGGCATACTGTGGCTCTCGCATTTATTCACATAATGCATGCTGCATTTTGGCCAAATCAGTACACACTGCTAGTATACTGCCCTACAAAGGCAAAAGGCAGTAACTTCAATTTTTTTGAAAATGAGTTTTTGTCATTTTTGGAACATTACAGATGTGCTTTATTATGTGGACAGATATCTTGAGTCAATTGTGCTGTTCTTTTGAGAAAATAGTAGGTTGTATTTGCCTTAACTTCCAAAAGCCCTCGAGAAACCAAGGCAGAGTCCAGTAACTTCACTCATCAGGGTCTTTGAACTGCAGCATTCAGGAACGCTCAAACTGAGTTCAGGTCTTCTGCCTTTGTTTTGCTGCGGATCAAAGTGAAGTTACTGTTTCACTGCAGTGGAGTTAAGGTGTTATGCCTTTGTTTTAATATCTGTCATCAAGCACTTAATTGTGTCATGATCACTAGATTTCATGTCTATGTTATCATTAGTATCATATACTGATTTAATATAGTGATCAGCAACCAAGGGAGCTAACAAATGGAAGTTAATGCCTTTTGCCTTGGCATGACCTCTTATTATTGTACAGGCAATGCAACGGCAGAGTACCTTAACTTCCAAATAAGGGTCAAAGGTCATGTTTAAGCTCAAGATTTGTATGTACATTAATAACCTCATTAAAAAGACAAAGAATTGCCACATTGCCAATATTCTGCCTGCAACTCATTTGGCTGGACAACAAAAAGACTTTAAAGTCATTTTTCTCAGTTCTGCACACTTGTAGGGCAGTATAGGAGGCGGTTTTGAAAACAGCCAAAGACTAAAGACACAAAACAATCAGACTTGGGTGAGACTAATAAGACACAGGTGAGAACAATGAGGGCAATTACAAAGGCAGGAAGTAAAATTAAACATGTAACACTGGGCAAGAACTACAAACTAAAACAGGACACACTAAAAACTAGACTCAGGACTAATACAGAACAAGGGCAGGAATTTACACTAGGTATTACACACAAGGACCAAGATCTACAAAATAAACTAGAAAGCACTTTAACAGAGTACACAGGACATGACAAATTAACAACAAACCTAGAACGGAAGTGAAAAAAAGAGCAACTCAACAATTAAGGCAATAAATTTAACAACTCAGTATTTAATGCTGGATAAATCTTTATCAGTGAGGCATATTCTTGGTCTGTGGTCACAAAGTCATTTCATGATTGATTATATTTCCCCCATAACATTT